TTGATTTGCTCTTATCTGATTCCCAATAGAGAGAACAGGAATACGCCAGTTTCCATGGTTTTCGTCTCTTGTAGGGCGCAGCTAAAATGAGTTAAAAAAAAATGTCGGTTTTTCTCCGTTAACGCTAAACTTGGCAATTGTTTGTTGACCCGCCCTTACAAACTGTGACCCCCACCCTGCCTATACAGTCAACATGGCATTGACATCTGAATTTATAAAGTAGAGAACGAATGAGATGCATCAAAAAAATATCTGCTCGGGTCAGTCTCAGCAAGGTCGTGACCACACATTTGTTCTTAATTTAACAAAATGTAAACCCACCTTCCACTACAAGGTGATTGACACTCATGTTTATGAATGTTATTTAACTTACGAAAGAATCGGCAATGTGTCTAAATGTTTTCGCAGGGCAATAAATCCTTTTGTGTTTTCATTTTCCAAGTTTATAGTATAAATATATATATATATATATATATATATATATATATATATATATATATGAAGAAAAATATATACGGAAAAAAACAAACAAAAATCCTTATATACAATTATGCTGTTTTAATGTTTAATATGTCAACGTCGGACGTTTCGGTCTAATAAACCATCTTCAGATAATTCATAATTTATGAATATTCCTGAAGATGGTTTATTAGACCGAAACGTCCGACGTTGACATATTAACATTAAAAAACAGCATAATTGTATATAATGATTTTTGTTTGTTTTTTCCGTGTTTTATTTTTTCTTATACTGTTTCTATATCCATATATTTATATTTATATATATATATATATATATATATATATATATATATATATATATATATATATATCAAGGTACATCAGGTACATCAGGTCCAGGCAACCTAAATTTTGTAAACAAAGAGATTGTTTGCTTGGACATGCTGTGCTGCGTTTCTACCATCTTTGTTGGTATAATTTTTATAACAATTTATTTCTCCCTGTCTAATCATTCATGGCATGCATAACGTATATTTTTCTTTTCCTCATAATTTTAGTTCCCCGTTAACAGTTCTGATGTGAGGGGGGACGAAATCGGTCGACTAGTGTTTATTTTTGTTTTAAATCTATCATAGCCTACAATATAAAATTTCTTGTTTTAATGCCTTAATATATATATATATATATATATATATATATATATATATATATATATATATATATACCCTGTACCCTAATGGGTATGTACCAATCCTCATAAATACGTTGGGTAATGTTTTAAGTGGGGTAATATGCTGTCTAAGTAGCCCACCACTAGCAGTGGTTTACCTACTTAACGCCGCTGACGAGTATTCTACTTTGTTGATGTTATAAATATTACTATTTCCGATTCAGTAACATTTTCTAGGTTACAAATACTTGTTAATCGACCGGTTCTGGGACACGTTGTTCGTTTTAATTCGAGGAGTGTTATGAAGCGAATTTCTCTTTCAGAACCCACTTCAGGACGTGGGTGATCAGGGCTCTTCACACCTTCCTATTCCTTTTAGCTCTAATCAATGTTTTTCCTTTACTATCCATCGCAGTTCATTTTCTGTCAATACTTGCTATTTCCTCTGTTCCTGTTGCGTTCCTGCGAGCGCCAAATTCTCGAAGCACATTTTCCTCGATATATATCTTTGAAATTTAAACTGGTTCTCTCTCTGATTCTAGATATAAGTGTCCTTTTCGTTCTAAATGCCCGAAACGACGCTCAAAATTCATTTGGCCAGAAGGGCACGGACCAAAAGATGAAAAATACGGCAACGCATTCTCTCAAACGAACTTCTGTCAAAGAAAATAACTGAAATTATATGTTAACAACCAAGATGTGTGTCACACACACACACACACACACACACACACTAACACACAAACACACACACACACACACACAGTGGTGCACGACACCTTGTGTCCGTTCACAGTTTCAAATTGTCAACAGCCCTGACATCTCTGGATAACGTATAATTTTGGTTAACAATCGCTTAAATAAATATGCCAAAGTTTAAGTTGATCGAAATCAAAAATATCCCTCAACTGTGAGCAGTGTCCAGACATTAAAATCACTTTTATTTCCATACAGCTTATACAGGCTAATTATAAAAGTGTCGCCCTGTGCGGACCGTACCCTCGCTCCATTCTAGGTACGCCAATGATATTACATAACAGTTGAGCCGTCTTTTCTCATAAAATGTCATTTCTAATAAAATGTCCCTGTTTCTTGATACTTTACATTTTAGCAGTTCAGATGTGACTTCCCGTTTCACATTGATCTGTTATAAAACTTCCTATTTAAATTTCCATACATGTTGACATCTTCTAGCTCTGATATTAGACTCTCTTCTTTTTTTTTCTTATCTAGAAGTTTCGGTAGTCATTCTACCATATTTGTTTCCAATATGGTGCCATATACTTATTTTATGTTGCTAAGATTGTGTCCTTCAGTACTAAAGCCTGATAGGACTTCTAGTTCCCCTGATATTGTCTCTATATATAGGTTAAAAAAGTCCGATGAAAAGAAAGAAAGAAAGAAAGAAAGAAAGAAAGAAAGAAAGAGAGAAAGAAAATGGATTGAGACTGGGAGAGAACCTTAAGAAGAAAAAGAACAAATGAACGAAAAGAAGCGCGGTAAGAAAGAAAGAAAGAAAGAAAGAAAGAAGAAAAAAGAAAGAAAGAAAGAAAGAAAGAAAGAAAGAAAGAAAGAAAGAAAGAAATAGACTAAGATGTAGGTGGATAAAATACTTAAGGAATAAAAACTGACTAAGAAAATAGAGAAGAAATAGAAAGAAAAGAAAGAAAGAAAGAAAGAAAGAAAGAAAGAAAGGAGAAACAAAGTGTTAGCAGCAAGACAATAAAGAGAAAGAAACAATCAGTCCAATAGTAAGAACTATGTGACAACAAAGTATTTGCAAGAAAGAAAGAAAGAAAGAAGCAGCAAAGCATGAACAAGAAAGAAAGAAAAAAGAAAGAAAGCAAGAATGAAAGTAAGAAAGAAAGAAGCAATGAGAAAGAAAGAAAGAAAGAAAAAGCAGCAAAGCATGAACAAGAAAGAAAGAAAAAATAAATGAAAGTAAGAAAAACAAAGAAGCAACAATGCATAAGCAAGAAAGAAAGAATGAATGAAAGAAAGAAAGAAAGAAAGAAGGAACAAAGCATGAGCAAGAAAGCGAGCAGTCAAGAAAGAAATAAAGAAAGAAGCAGCAAAGCATTAGTAAGAAAGAAAAAAACAAAGAAAGAAAAAAGACAGAAAGAATGAGAGAAAGTAAGTAAGAAAGAAAGAAAGAAAGAAAGAAAAGAAAGAAAGAAAGAAAGAAAGAAAGAAAGAAAGAAAAATCAACAATCCATGAGCAAGAAAGAAAAAAGGAAAGAAAGAATGAATGAATGACATTAAGAAAGAAAGAAGCAACAAATTATGAGCAAGAAAGAAAGAAAGAAAGAAAGAAAGAAAGAAAGAAAGAAAGAAAGAAAGAAGCATCAAAGAATCAGCAAGAAAGAAAGAAAGAAAGAAAGAAAAAAGATAACCTAAAAAAATCATTCATTATTGCTCGTGGCTTTTACCCTCAAATTAAAATCAATTTTGGTTGGCGATTGTTAAAGAATAACTTTCACCGGAGACTGGAAGACGCTAACGTCCTTGACTCACCCCCCCCCCGATCCCATAAGTCATCAGCAATTTGCAAACCTCCCACTTTGTTACCACATAGCAATTTGGAACAGACCGGTATAAAATAGGCGACTGTATATGGTCACGTGTTGGAGGTCACATAGTCTGGGATGGTCGGCATGTCTCACGACATTTGAGGATTTTTGTTTTGGTCTTCATGATAATACAACGCCCCTCTCACCCTCGCTTTCTCCATCCCTTTCTCCCTCTCTCTTGCTATATCGCTCTCTTTCTGTCTCTCTCTCTCTCTTTCTCCCCCCATTTCTCTCTGCTTTTCTCTCTCTCTCTCTCTGTTTCTATCCCCCCCTTTCTCCCTCACTTTATCTCACCCTTTCTTTCTTTCTATGGAATATATGGAGAAGAAAAATGTTTTGAAAGAAAAAAAGAAAGAAAGAAAGAAAGAAGAAACTAAATCATAAGAAAGAACAACGAAAGTTGATGTTAAGATAAGCAGAAGAATATTCATTGATAAGAAAGAAAGAAAGAAAGAAAGAAAGAAAGAAAGAAAGAAAGAAAGAAAGAAAGAAATATTATGATTGTGCCTTTTGAGACAATACCAGATGAAGAAAGAAAGAGTGAGAAATAGTAATGAATTGTGGGTTAGAGAGTAAAAAGAGTATAAAAGAAAGAAAGAAAGAAAGAACGATTAAGAGGGGGTCTTTTGAGAGAATACCAGATGAAGAAAGAAAGATTAAGAAATAGTAATAAATTGTGGGTAAGATAGTAAAAAGAGTATAAACGAAAGAAAGAAAGAAAGATTAAGGGGGTCTTTTGAGCGAATACCAGATGAAGAACGAAAGAGTAAGAAATAGTAATAAATTGTGGGTAAGAGAGTAAAAAGAGTATAAAATAAATAAATGAAGAAAGAAAGAAAGAAAGAAAGAAAGATTAAGGGGGTCTTTTGAGAGAATACCAGATGAAGAAAGAAAGAGTAAGAAATAGTAACAAATTGTGGGTTAGAGAGTAAAAAGAGTGTAAAAGAAAGAAAAATTAAGAGGGGGTCTTTTGTGAGAATACCTGATGAAGAAAGAAAGAGTAAGAAACACAGTAAGACAGTGTGTGTTAAAGAAAGAAAGAAAGAAAGAAAGAAAGAAAGAAAGAAAGAAAGAAAGAAAGAACAAAGGAAGTCGGGGGTGAAGATAGGCAGAAGAATATTAACTGATAATAAAAAAGAAAGAAAATAAAGAAAGAAAGTAGTCAATGCGAAATATAAAGAAATAAAAAAAAGGAAACAACTATATAGCAACATAAGAGAAAATGAAGAAGACACCCCCTTACATTGTTTGCACTTCTCAAAATTTCGTTTCGCTCGGTCAGTACATGGCTATTTTAGAGAGTGTAACAGACGGACGGAAGACACAGAATTTTATATATAGACTAGACTAACCTTGGCCCGTTGGGTCACAGACGGTTCAGGTTATAAAATATTCAAGTTGATTTCAATATTCCATTGAAATGAAAGTTAATTTTTCATTATGATTTAGTTAAATATTTCAATTCAGTTGTATCATCATTTAGTCTAGTTTACAATTCTTGTTTAACGTTTTACTGATTATTTAAAACATTTAATATTTATAGAACTTCCGGGATAAACTTAAACTTTAAATCAGATTGTTATTTTTAAATATGTCAAAAATATTTTTAAATCATACTCACTTGAAAATATTTTTTTAAATATACAAAAAAATATTTTTTAATATTTAAAATATTGTTTGTTTAAACAAAGCTGAAATATAAATACCCAACAAGTAACTGGACGCAAAATCAAAGCGGGATCTCTTTGTGACTGTCTTCAATTTTAAAATAATTTAATTAAAAAATTGTCTGTTTGAAGAAATTTAAAATAAAACAATTACTGTATAAACAACTCGTGTTTTTAAATCTTATTCACTTAAAATAGTTTTTTTTTTTTAAATGAGATTAACTTAAAAATATTTTTTAAACATTTGAAATATTTTTCGTTTAAAGAAAGCCGAAATATAAATAATTACTCTACAAACAACTGGACGAAACAGCAAAGCGGGATCTCTTTGTGTCTGTCTCTGTTATAGTGTTATATATAGTTGTCATGAATCATCAAGAGTGGTCTCTCCTGGTTCATTACTCACCTCTTTGCTATATTTTATATTTGCTAACTTATTTATGTATTTGGCACAAAGTTTTATTTATCTAATCTTTTTATTTATTTATTTATTTATTTTTTGGAATCGAATATATTTTTGAATTTGTAGAAGAGACATCTCAAATCCTAACATTTATTTTATAATGTTAATTTGGCAAGTATGGATTTTTGTGTTTGTAAAAATCTAGATTGTCTAAAGGACGGTTTTTGCCATGACACCGTTTTTATTTTAACTGCTTTCACCTCCTCGGCAATGTTTATTGTTTTAAAAATCGATGAATAGAAGTGTGATAAAAATCTAAAGATATGAAAGGCATTTTTGTACATGTTCTTTGTTCTTCACAGTTTTCAACAATTGTATAAATTCCCTTTCATCATATGTTTAGGTTTTATTACAGTTTTAATCATCGTTTGAACAATAAACATTGCTGGGGAGTGCTAAAAATAAGAGCATTGCCGTAGAAAAAAAACAACTTATGATTCAGTTAAATATTTCGATACTTTTGTGTCATCATTAGTCTAGTTTACAAGTTCAGGTTTAACATTTTACTGATTGTTTAATTTGAACTTCCAGGATAAATTTGAACTTAAAAACAGATTAACTTAAAAATATTTTTTTAAATATTTGAAATATTATTTGAAAAAAGAAAGCTGAAATATAAATAATTACTCTTTAGCATCCCGCTAACACCTTTTTTTTTATCAATATCAATTTTCGCACAAAAAGTGGATCACAGAGCTTATTCAGCTTAATAAATATTTTAAAAAGACCTCAACTTCTGATTGGTCACTTAATATTTAAATCATGCCCGAATATCAATATCAATTTTCGTACAAAAATTGGATCACAGAACTTATCCAGCTTAATAAATATTTTCAGAAAATCTCAATTGATCACTTAATATTTAATAAAATCGACCTGACCAAAAAGATAATTCCGCCAAAATCTATCTAGCTTCTGTGAGCCTATCACGTGACCAAAGTTAGCAATAAAATATGAAACGTCTTTCATCTTCGACAGTGCACCGATCGGAATCCCTTGAACTCGTCACATAGTTCCAGGCTTTCCGTTAAAGTTCCTTAACATGATTCCATCCTGAGAGAACACTCATTCACACAGCATTATTTTCAAGTTTTCCACATTCAACTTAATACACGAATCTTTTTCATACGATTTCAAGCTCAACGTTAATTATTGCAATTAACACAAACACAGCTTGTTAAAAACCACTTACCCCAACTAGAATATTCTCTTCCAACAAGTGAAAACAAATCAAAGAGCGACAATTCCGTAAACCTTAAAGTAAAACAATATTTCTCTATTTCAAATACAAACTTGAACTGTTTACCTTTTTTTCTTAAATTACTATAATACCAAAACATACTTTCTCATTATTGTACAGACCATTCAACAAATTATAATCTAACCAGAACTTTGATAACTTTTCATCTAAATATAAAAGGACGTTTGAACTTTTTAAAATTACCTTTTTACTGCAGTTGTTTGTACCTCTTTGTTATATAAACATTTTATTCATTGTTGTGATAAAAACTGTTGTCTTTCATGTTGTCCTTATTCTATGTTTGTTGAATACTGAAATTTAATGTGAGAGGAAATTGTTAATTTCCTCACGCAGCCTAATTTACTCATCAATTTTTGATCAATATAATTTAATCATTATCACAACCTCCACAACTCTATAAACAACTGGACAAAACAGCAAAGTGGGATCTCTTTGTGTCTGTCTTTAACTTAAAATATTTTAATTACAAAAAAAAAAAATCCGTTTGAAGCAAGTTAAAATAAATGTACTTACAGGTATAAACAATTCGTAAATCATTATGCACCGGGTGGACGCACTACGCAAGGACGCAGGCACACACACAGTCCCAGACTTTTAGCATTATATAGTTAGATAACTCGAGTTCTTAGGTTGATGTTTTGGTTTAGCAACATTGTATATTGTTGGGCAAAACCTTTTCTATCACAACCTGACCTAGGCTCTATTTCCGTATCCTATCTACTCAAATGATCCCATTTGCAATGTTTTATATTTATTAATTAGAAAATTAAATTCATTTAAAATGAATATTTTAGAGTCTCTTTTATTGTACAATAATAAAACCTGATACGTCACAACACAAGATATCACGGGCTTGCGGCCATATTGCGTTGAAACACCGGTCGCCTGTACGATGACCGGACTTAAGCAACGTCGAGCATGGTCAAGACTAATATGGGGACCGCTTGAGAAACTAGTATGATTTCAGTGGAGTTACTTTCGGCTTTTATGACGTCTACATATTTCAACTTTATCTTCTTGACGAATGGGTGATCGATTGGGAATACCAAAAGCTGTAAGCTTGGATGTTCGGGTGGTGTGATATATAATGACTTAGAATTATTAATCTTAGAGCGGAGTTCTAATTCTTGTTGGGTTCGTTATATTCACTTACATGAAAGTATCCTTGAGAAAGATATGAATCTCTCTCTTCTCCCCCAGCTATGGGTTAATCAGTAAAACTTGTATCACTAAAAACTATTATCATCCTCACAACATATAAAATAAAACGAAAAAAATGCTTACAAAATATTTAAATTTCGGCATTAAATAACCCATGAAGTTTGATATGCCGCTAAATAAAAGCAAACAAAATTTGTGTGTTTATTACATCCTGATTGGGTATGAATCCACGTCTTCTCACTACAGCTATGTGTTAATTAATAAATCTTCTATCACTAAACCATTGTTATCTCCCCCGCCAAAAAATTAATTTATAATATAAATGTAGAGAAACTATTATCGCTATAAAATGAGAGATCAATTTATATATTGTTTTTAATATAGAATTGATCCACCACTTTCTATCCACATTATTATTTATTTATCAAATTCTGATTAGGTATGAATCCAGCTCTTCTCTCCCAGCTATGGGTTAATTAGTAAGACTTATAACACTAAAAACTATTATTATCCTCACAAAAAAATAAAATAAAACGAAAAAATTGCTTACAAAATATTTAAATTTTGGCATTAAATAACCCATGAAGGTTGATATGCCACTAAATAAAAGCAACCAAAATTTACATCCTGATTGGGTATGAATCCACGTCTTCTCACTCCAGCTTAATATGAAACCCTCTACCTCGAATGGCGCCCGGGCTTTGAACTAAGTGAACCTCACTGTAAAAATAAAAAAAAATATTGGTACCCTAAGAAACGACCTGGTTGTTACCGAAATTGTAATAATGAGTTATATTCTTTAGTTTGGCATTACTAAAGAAAAGGTAATATTCAAGAAAACTCCGTCCTGGGTATGACGATAAACTACATCCGCGTCCTGGCTGTGACGATAAACTACACCCGGCAGCAAGGCCTCTGATCAGGAGGTTTTGAGGAGCGTGGAACCACTTCTTAATTGCTGGTGTTTCCAGGTCCACCCTGACCCGGGGTGGTAGCACTTGTTAGGGTCCCAGCTATAAGCAAATAGTTAACCCTTAAACTGGGGCCAAAACGCCATGAAATTATAAAAGTAGGTTTTAATACCAGCAATATAGTATTGTAAAAATTATTACTAGCAATGAAGTTTTGAAGGGAAAAATTATTACCAGGAATACATATTTGACAAAAGATATGACCAGCAATAAAAATCTTGTCGGCATTAAATAACCCATTGAGGTTGACATGCCGTAAGCCAAACCAAAACAAACCAAACCAAGCATAACTTTAAATATATTTTTACATATTAAGATATATTCGTAATTTGTTATTTAATATTAATAGAAAACTGATCACCCACCTTATGTCCAATATAATCTTAAAGTAATATTACTTTTACCCCTGTCATAAAAATGATGGCATATATGAAATTGGTATTTTGTTATGTCTCTGCTATTAGTAGAAAGCTTACACAAACGTATCTTTAAATATATTTTTACATATTAAGATATATTAGTAATAGGGGATCAGTTTGTTACTTAATAGCAATAGAAAAATGATCCCCCACTTACAAAGAACACATATTCTATACATACGAACCTATTTTAAAAGTCTTGCCAGCAAGGAACTGACCAAATTTTCTCGAATTGTGTATATGTGTGTGAGGGGGGGAATTTAGAAGGACAGGCTGTAATAAGCAGGGTGGGAAGTTGAAAGCAAATAAATATTAGAATAAATGTCTGGAGCCATGAACGCAGGATGATTACTATTATAAAAACCGGTCGAATGACGTCATCTGCTTGACGAATTCTTACAGCAAGAGGTCGCGAGATGTTACGTTAAAGGCTGCTATAATTTTCGCTGAAAACATTTACGCAAATTGTTTTAGTCATACTGCTGACGGTGTCGACAAGAACGGAAACTGGTCGCCTGTTCTGTAACGATGGTGGTGGTGGTTTTGGTGACAGTATGGGCGGCGGAGGAGGTTGCTACGAACGGACGGGCGAGCGAGAAGGCAGGAGATTGGGTAAATGCCACGCATGTGCAATACGAGAAGATTATTGACAACATTTTTAGCGCGGTAATTATTAGAATTACAACGAATAAAGGCGGGAAAGCATTGTCAAGAATAGGGTCGGTGGGGGGACTCAAAACATCCAGGCCAGTTGGTAGATGGAAAAAATATCCTGTGAAAGGATTTATAGGAAGGGTCGGCTAGGTCGGTTGTACGTCCACAATTTCTGTTATTTTCGGCGACATGAAAAAAAGAGAAAAAAGAAATAAGAAAATTGAATAAAATGCGCCATCTTTTTTTAGTTGTTGTGTTGTTGCTGTTACAGAAATATAGTTACAATTTTATCAAGGGTTACAGCTTCGTTTTTCCTTGATGTATTATTTTTTTAAACCGTGTTCATTATTTGTTTGTTAGTTCTCCACAAGCAAAGGAAAGGAAAGTGGATAAATGATATTTTCATTTCGTTAATTAGCTGAGGTATATTTTTATCTCTATTTAGCAATTATTTACAGTTGTATGCGATTGTCTGTGTATGTTTGCTAAGGGATAATTTAAAGAAAGGTCATCTCATTAAAAGAACAAATATAAAACTGTTAACAAGAAAATAAAAGCAATGCAAAAATAGCCAACGACGACAGAAGAAAAGAGCGAGAACCATATATATATATATATATATATATATATATATATATATATATATATATATATATATATATATATATATATATATATATTTACCCTGACGATCAGTGTAGGTAAAATCTAGGTAGGTTACCTGGCTCTTTTGGGTTTATATTAGGTTGGCTCTACTTAGTGTATTAACCACTTTACGCTGTTACTTTTCTTTTTACTCGTTTGGATGTTTTTTCTTTAGACTTGGATTCTGGACGATTGTTTTCGCCTCAATTTCATGTTCTTAGTTCTTTCTTTTTTTATTCCTCGTTTTTCCTAGGGCATTGGTTTGTTCAACTGCAAGCCAAAATACCTAAGGTTTTTTCCAAACAGTGTACCACTATATATATATATATATATATATATATATATATATATATATATATATATAGTGTATAGAGTGTATTAGAATTAGAATTAGGAAGTTAAATTTTTAATTCCGACAAGAAACACACTCTATACAACGGGATTGAATAAAATTGACGTAGTTTTCGTCGGTCGAAATAGATCTATACCCCTCCCCCATATGAGGTAATTTTGTTTTGTAATTTATATGGTCTGCTATAATACATTGAGCTCTTTTTGTGGATCAGTTTTAATATTTGATATTACTAGGATTCACTTGCATTGTATACCAACAGGTTTATTACATGAACTCTTTCTCTCTCTCTCTCTCAATATATATATATATATATATATATATATATATAGTGTGTGTGTGTGTATTTAGGCAGCAATCCTAATTTCATACAAGTTTCATTAACTATGAGAGAAAAGTTATTTGATTAATTTTTCATGTGATCGTATAATTTATTTCGGTAGATAAATTATATAAAACTGTCCAAACGTTGTTTTTTCCCCGAACGTTTTCGGCTATACATTTATCCATTTTACTCATGGAGACCTACTGGACCCTATTCAAAACATACTTGTTGACGACACAAATATAATAGCATCATCTACATTAAAAAAAAAGCCTAAAAATAATGGAAGCCTTAATAATAATTAAAAAAAAACACTCAATAATATCAACTATGAACATGGACACAATATCTTGACTTTGTTTTGAAAAAATGAAAACATTATATAAATACATACATACAACAATCCATTTCTAGCTAACAGTTAATATGTTTTAACCTTGAAAACGGCTAAATGTATAGCCAAAAGCGCTCAGAAAAAAACATTTTGGCAGTTTTTATATGATTTATCTACAGAAAAGAAAAGAAATATAAGATCACATGAAAAATTGTATAAAAACTTAAAAGTTAAACCTTCTCTGTTAATATATATATATATATATATATATATATATATATATATATATATATATATATATATATATATATATTTTAACATAAAAACAGAAAATTATTAAAAAAAAAAATAATGCGCTTCCTGTTAGGAATCGAACCTATGTTCCTTTGGTCAGAGGGGATTTAATGCCTTAACCGACTCGGCAACGGAGTAGCCCTGCAGATCAAACAACATCTGAACCATGCATGTTAGCGAAATTCTTCTCGTGTCAAATTCCAACAATTTTTGAGTGTCTGATACTTTCTAATTAGCCAGTGTTGGTTCTGTGCAACCAGAATAAATGCTTTTAATCATGCACTACGTAAAACCACTGATGAGTACATGGTTTGTCGAGATCAGCTTGTTTGGCACGGGCCGTGTATTGACCATGAAGTGGTTTATCGTTCCATCGTTTCCGTATTTGTTCCATCGCATTTGGTTTTGCCTTTTCTTTTTTTAGGTTCTTTGACGTGCATTATGACTTACTCTTCTTCGTCCACTTGAAATTCCTCCTTTTTGAATTATATTATCATTATTATTATTATTATTATTATTATTACTGAAGTTTGCAGGGTGATGGTTTCAAAGACAGGAAATAATTCTAAGTGACTCTATTTCAAGTCTCAAGACATTCGGCAGCAAGCACTTTCTGCAGGATATTTACTCTGCTTAAGAGGGTTATCTTTTGCAACATTGTAATGCTGGGTCCCACTCCAATAGTAAAACGATGTTTCTAAAAGTTCTTTGGAATCGATCCAAGGGCTCCAATGATAATTGGCACAACATTGCATATTCACTCCAGCAATAACCCTAAACTCTGATTAGTTCACAAGCTTTTCAACTTCTTTATCAGCAATATAGTGGTATCCAAAGCATGTCGATTCTATCAGATTCTATCATGAGAATTTTTTTATGACCAATATTTTGTCTGGTCTTGTCTGCTGTGTTCAATAACTCTCTGGCTGTGTCTACCACTTGTCAGAAGTATGGAATCCATACTACGGACACAATCACCAATGGAAGATGCAGACAGACTTTTTCACGTCGATTTATGATATGCTTCACAATCTCTGTCTTCTTCCCACACAGTCTACACTTATCCGATTCCACCAGATGGTAAATTCACAGAATGTTCCGGTCTTGTACAGCTACTCGCAAGATTTAAGTCTCTCCATGAAAAGTCACATTTGACCTCCTTTGTAACTTGATCCATTTGACCTTACAGAACAGACAACTAATTTTCAGTTATAATCTATATATTCTTCTTCTTCTTCTTCTTCTTCTTCTTCTTCTTCTTCTTCTTCTTCTAAATACTAAAGAACTCCGAATCATCAATCTAACGGTTCTTTCCTATTTTATCAATATATTGGAATATATATATATATATATATATATATATATATATATATATATACATATATATATATATCAGGGTTTCAATTGTCAGGTTTTCAATTCTCGGTAGTGGATGCGCACTGCTGATGAGTCCCAAATATAGGACGAAACGGCCGTCCAGTGCTTTCTGCATTCTGTTGAGATTTCTATCAGACTCGATGAATTACTTATATATAATTATCAAATCCTCCTAATAATTACTATCTGTGTTTATCATCGCTTGAACCGGCTTCTAATGCTCCAGTTGGTAGCGGCTTGGTGAGAGTAGTCGTGGCTCCAGGGGGCACAGTCCTATGGTTAGAGAGAACTCAGTAAGAGTTCCACCACGGAATATGTGAGTGAGCGGCGCTTTGTTGAGTCTGATTTGCATCCTTTTCGTCACCAAGGCCCATTTGGAACAGGTGGTATGATGTTTGCTTGACAACGTAACTGTCAGGGTTTCAATTCTCGGTAGTGGATGCGCACTGTTGATGAGCCCCAAATATATGACGAAACGGCCGTCCAGTGCTTTCTGCATTCTGTTGAGATTTCTATCAGACTCGATAAATTACTTATATATAATTATCAAATCCCCCTAATAATTTCTATCATATATATATATATATATATCTTCATATATCTTCTTATTGCTGTGTCCTTTCAGGACGTTGCTGGTCATGTCTCACCACAATTTCCTGTCCTTTGTAGCTCTTATAAAATTGTGTCTTTTTGTTTTCTGTCCTGAACCCTGTCCTGCCATCTATTTGCACGAGTTTTCTAGATAACTGTCTATATTTCTGAGATGAGGTATTATATACATTATTTACATTATTCGGACTATTGACCTAATCCTTGTCGCCATATTTATTACAACGTTTCGGCCGTTGTACGCTCCGGCCTTCTTCAGGTGGTTGGAATGTCGAACTGAAGGACACATGGCACAGTGGATAAAGGCGTTGGTTAGATCAAGTGACAGAAGCCAAAGAGTGTGAGTTCAATACCCGGTTAAGGCTTTGGAGAACTTTCAGAGGAAAATTAACAGGAGATAACTGATAACTGACATCCATTAAACATGGCACGTGGAACTAGAACAGTCTATCCCAGTGAGCGAAATAAAGGGTTCAGTTCGACATTCCAACCACCTTAAGAAGGCCGGAGCGTACAACAGCTGAAACGTTGTAATAGATATGGCGACAAAGATGAGGACAATAGTGAGAATAATGTAAATAATGCTTTCTAGATAAGTTATGCGCGGTTTCCATCTGTCCTTCTTGTCTGCAATATGCCTTGTGTGAGTCAAAGTTTCCAAACCCTCTTTCCTAATTATGTACACTAGACATTTCAACAGTGTCTTTCTGTTGTTAAGTGGAAGTGTCCGTTTTGTGCTCATTTTCACAAAATTTAAATGCAATGTCAATTGTTATCTTCTCTCTTTATAATTCTTGTTCTTTTATTGACCTCTTTCCTTAATAATAATTTTTCTCATATTCTATAACACTCAGCACCTTCTTGCGTCTTAGTAGCTATATTGCCTTGCTTCGGTGCAATGATTTTAAAAAAAGAAACTTTGTCGTTGCTCACATATTCAGTATCTAGAATTTATCAGCATCCTTCTGAAGAACCAAGTTTCTATTGCCTCAAGTTTATTCTTCATCTGAACGGAAACTGTCCAGCATTCACTGCTTTTGCATTCTTCTATCATCATTCTCGGTATTAGGTTGGTGCAAAATAATGACGTAATAATGTCGTTTTTGACGTCAAAAACGACATTATTACGTCATTATTATTGAAAAATAAAAGAAATATAAATGGCGCATTCCTTGTTCCAGTGGCATTAACGAAACCACACGGTTCTTGTCCGATTTCTTGTCTAATCCTGCTGCGTTGTCGTTTCGTCAGAATTCGGATTATAAGTTTTCTTCTGTGTCTCATTAGATGGATGCCTTAACTTATTTATCTTTTGCAAGGTTTTCATTTTTAACTAGAGATCTTGAATTAAGGATCAGCTGTCAACGAATACTTGTGAAGCGATGAGATATTAGGTTTTATTACGATTTTCTCAATGTAGAATTTTAGGTATTCATAGTAGAGATCTCACCACCCTAATGAAAGCTGGTTAATAGGACAAGTCGATTTTTTAATTCTTTTCTTTTAAACGAATATTGCACTCACAAGCTAGTGTTTGATCTGATAAGTACTGACACCAAAAATAAGAAACATAGCTTTTATAAATTCGCGGCCATTTTTAAAGATCGGACGAAACGATGTAAAGAAATACTTAATTTCTTCCAAACTGACATCAAAATTATACTATTTCAAGAATAAATCCAAATAAAGTTGAAATGTTTTGTATTAGATACATTGAATGGAAAATATATTCAAACGAGTATTCTAATTATGAATCACTATAAGCTAAATATGCAACTTTTTTTTACTGTATTCGATAAATAAAAACTGTATAAAAAACTAAAAGATTACAAAAAAAAAAAAAAAACAAAAAAAAAACAAAAAAAAAACTGCTCAATGAATAAAATTTGTAAGATCATAATTAATAAAAACACAATTAAATAAACGTGTATATAATCCCAGGATAGTTATCAGCACGAATTTGAAGACAAAATAATTTAAATTTGCATTTTTTATGGCAAATCACACCAAAACTACTGCACTGTATGAACTATTACATCATAATAAACCTAAATTGTTCAATAAAATTCCCCTTTGAAATAAATGAAGGTCTTATTTGATAGCACAATGATTTAGTAATAATATGCTTGTGCCTTGCTTCTTGTCCATATATAATTTGTAATGCTTCAATAAATTATACATTTTATAAGGTTGTTCTTATATAAGGTTTTATAAGGTTAGTCTTTCACTGATCACCGGAATGAAATTCCAACGCTACGATTTTGAACGGAAACTTAATCTTTAAATCCTGTTACCTCAAAAACCGATAACGATTTGTTCGATGCTAAACCGGTTTTGAATTCAAAGTTGGCCTTATCCTAGAAGAGTTTCTAAACAAATCTAATCAGTCCTGATTTTAACTGCTATTTCTCGACATTTTAGAAAGCTATTTGCTACGGAAAACGTTGCTTGTGGAACTTTCTTCCGGTTCCGTGCTTTGATCTTCAAAAATATATTTTGGGTCGTTAATCGTTCGATGCTGAACCGGTTTTGAATTCAAAGTTCTTCCGGCTCCTTGCTTTCCAGCCAACTTTGATCTTCAAAAAGGCGAATGCAATGTCAATTGTCATCTCCTGTCTACTTGATTAACCTCCTTTTACTGTTCTTGCTCCTCAGTAACTCCTTTGCATGCTAATGGCCTTGCTTGGGCTGAAATTCTTTAAAAAAAAATATTATTATTATTATTTTCCCGGTTTTCGTTTTTTAACCAGAGATCTTGCATCAGGGTTGTCCTCCATGAAAAAGAATATTTTCAGTGCCAGGCAAAGCGGACTTCTGAAGCGATGGGATTTTAGGCGTTACTTTGATTTTCTCAATATAAACTCGGCAGTATAAACTCCATAAACTTTTTTAAAATCGCGCTTTTCTTTAAGTATTATTATGGCTGATGCTGGCCTCCAAAAGAAGTACATGTTGTTCCTTCGCTGTCAAAAGTCATCGGCTGATATGAAATGGTAAAACTGTGTTCTATGGCTCTGAAACTTGGACTCTCTTAGCAAAACAACAGCGCCGTTTAGATGGATTTTATACACGTCTTTTAAGAAGAGTGCTTATGATGATGAAAACTGTGTTAAATCCATTGGTTCACAATGTCGTGTTAGACAATTTTTCATGTCCAGAATCTATTTTACATATCTATAAATTCATACTTAGAATATTGATGCCACCTATGGCCTGGTGTTCCTGATATTTATGTAGAGCTCCTTCATAAAATCCAAAGAAAAATCAGCAATATTGCTGGTCTTGATCTGACATCTCGACTTCAGTCGCTTTCCCACTGCCGTAAGATTGACTCCCTGTGTCTTTTCTATAAACACTTTCATTGTAATTGTTCGAATGAGCTCTTCGCTAAGGTATATTTTACATTTGTAAATATTTATTGGGGTTGCCATTTTATCCCCACCACCACCACCCCCACAGACAATGATATTGTACATATGGGGACTAGTTATAACTTTCATAGAGACAATGAGGTATTATGGTGAATGTAGTAAGCATGATAAGTAAGAATGCGTTGTTTTGGTGTAAGGAATATTCTGGTATGTTTGGGTCAGTGTTTATGGCTAGCTATGTTTAACGTAAAGACAGAAGACCGTCCTCTTTCCCAATCCCCATTGTTGGCCTTGTGTCACATTTCTGTATATAAGCGGAATAAATATCGCTCTTCGCTATGGCACTTAGCCTTTTAGAATTTAAGCGCAGTACTAGACTGGCGATGAAGTTTCATTAATTTATAGTTGAGTTGGCTAGTTCTAGCAGTAAGTTCTATGTTAACAGTTTCTTTTCTCGCACTTCTCTCTTGTGGAATCCTCTTTCGGCTACATGCTTTCTAGTTAATCTTCAAAAGTTTAATTGCAATATCAATCATTATCTACTGTCCTTTCGAATACTCTTTTTATTTTCACTCATTAGTAATTCTGTTTTATAATTTTTCATCACCCTATAACCGTCGTCTTAGTGGCTTTACTGCCTTACATGGGTGGATACCAATAAAAAAAAGATTGTTCGTCAAATTGCGTTATTTCATTATTAGTACATTACAGGTTTTCAAATAAGAAAATAATCTGAAACATTAATTATCTACTTAAAAGAAAGAGAGTGTTGAAACCACTTTCAATGTAAACAAGTAAAGATTATCGGAATACGTGCTATTAGATAAGAATTTAATGTTAGATTTCATTCCAGAAGGTATCCATCCGGAAACAACCCAGCTCCACCCCGGCTTAATGTGCCCCATTTCCCCAAGCCATTTCTCCTTGGCTAAAATCGGTCCGTGTCGGGCCATGAGTTGTTCACGCGAACAATGAGACGAATCGGTGCCTTGATGGCGTAAATCTGGCCACTCAAGAAGACCAGGCGCGTGTCACCGAGCACGAAATCGGATATGGACACGCTGCGATAAAATGCTACGAAGCCAGCGAGACATCACAGGGCGGGGAGAGAATAACATGGCCGATATTTTCAATGTTTGCTTTTATTGTGTCGAGTTGTGGTTGGTTAAGAGTTAATGGGCTATTTGATTCGTTCGGAGTTTAATCGCTTAGTGGCCGATTTAGTTATGTGATTGTGATATATATATATATATATATATATATATATATATATATATATATATATATATATATATATATATATATATATATCGAATCATATATGGTGATTAATAGCGGAGAGCCGATAAGGATTACTCCACCGTGCCTCCAAGTTCGAATCCGGGTTGAATCCATTACATTCACTTACGTGCTAATACCCTTGGGAAAGGTGTGAATCTCTTCTTCTCCCTCCAGCTATGGGTAAAATAGCAGGACAGACTGGGTTCTATAGCCTTTGGATGGCAACTGGTCTAGGAGAAGGACAACTCTGAATTCAAAACCTGAGGGGGGTTTGTTTGGGAACCTTATGGGACGTAGTGCACCAGGTCTCTGTATTCGGCCCTTCAAAAAGTGTGGATGGTCCTGCACAAGTCCTTCACCACTATAATCGAATCTCATGTGCCGGTGTCGGGCTGTCAATTTTCCTGGAAACTGATCTGCTTCACCCTCATACGTCGAAGCCGACGGGAGAATTTTTTTATATATATATATATATATATATATATATATATATATAGATAGATAGATAGATAGATAGATAGATAGATATTTACAGGGTACGATATATAAATTATCGCCATATTATGCTTTTAATTTCTAGCATGAGCGTTGTTTGTTTTTAATTTTGTCGACTGCACCGGATAGTAGGATCAGTTGGGCACCGTCTGTGAGAAAAAGATCCCCATGACGAAAATCACCCCCCCCAAGAAATTTGTAAACGGCATGACGTACTGTTTGGAATTCGTGCCGGAATCTCCAATACGAACGTTTCACAGTGTTTGTGTGTCAATCTGAGGACTGCAGACGATTCAGAAAGAGTCAGATGAGGCTAATGGTGATTAAAAAGGTGTTTGGAGTGATAACTTCTTACATCGACGTTATGCCTCCATTCACCTTCCCACGGGGACTCAGACTCAACACGGATGCCTTCATCAAGTGCCTTGAGGAGGTAGTGCTGCCAAGGGTCAAGAGGGTGGCTGCTGGAAGACCCTATGTCTAGCAACAGGTCTCTGCATCACGTCACACAAACAGGAGAACCCATTCATGTCTGTCAGACAATTTCTGCGACCACATCACACCTTACATCTGGCCACCTAACTTTCCAGACTGCAACACCCTTGATTATTTATTACGTGTTTGGCGCAGTTGGATTATGGCTGCATTCATCAACTTAAACAAGGAGACCGCCCAGAGGAGTTGCAGAAGATTCTGTTGTCGTCTGGAGACTTCGGTTGAAAAAAAATGGCGATTATATTAAATAAATTTTCTCTCTAGTATATTTTTGTGTAATAAGATAAATATATATATTAAAATGAGATGTCGTTATTATTTTCATTATTGCTTAATTTAGACGACAATTTATCCATCGCACCCCGAATATGCTGAAATAGGTATATTTGTATAGTGATAAATAGTCTGAAACATCAACTAAGAGAAAATTATTAAAATGATCATATATATATATATATATATATATATATATATAGAGAGAGAGAGAGAGAGAGAGAGAAGGGTAGGGAAAGAAAGAGTGGAAAAGGTGGAGAGGGAGATTGATTAGACATAGATAGACAATATCAATCGTAATGGGCAGACGGTGCTACGTTGCATGCTTGCTGGATAGATATAAAAGTGTGAACAGATTTGAACATATATATATATATATATATATATATATATATATATAGAGATAGATAGATAGATAGATAGAGAGAGAGAGATAGAGACAGAGAGACAGAGAGAAAGAGAGAGAGAGAGAGGCAGGTTTAAAAAGACAGATAGAAAGAGAGAGAAAATAGATTGTTAAGATCGGACATAGAAAAAGGATTATACAAATATAGACACAGAGAGAGAGAGAGAAAAAGAGAGAGAGAGAAAGAGAGAGATATTTGATCATAGATAGATAGATAGATAGATAGATAGATAGATGAACAGAATGAGAGACATAGTTTAGATAGATATGTACAGACTGAGATAGATAGATAGATAGATAGATAGATAGATAGAAACAAAATTAGATACGTAGATAGATATGTATAGACTGATAGATAGATAGATAGATAGATAGATAGAATGAGATACGTAGATAAATATGTACAGACTGAGCTAGCTAGCTAGCTAGATTGATAGATAGATAAATAGACAGATAGATAGATAATGGCCCAACAGATATATATATATATATATATAAATTGTCTACAAAGAACAATTACTATTGCATTGCAATTGTAGCCACACCTTTTTTTTTTTTGAGTGAGTAGTTTTTTTTTGTTTTCTTTTTTTATATTCGTTTTTCTCTGAATTACGAGGTAATGCCTTTTGCCATTGATATTCACCCTTTACAAGGACCCAGAGCCACTCGAGGCAGAGGGTGACAGAGTAAGGGGCACAGGTTTTGCGAATGTGTGTGGAAGATAACGGTTAACCGTAAATTTGAACAGGTTAAGATTGCAGTGATCGTGGAAGCATCCACATGGGTGTCAATTTGACGTGGCATCGGTTCGGGGGAAAACATTGCTGGAGTGGAAATTTCATATCAACAATATAATGCGAATACGAGGGTGGTTTCCTAAAATGGGCGTGGCATGGCGGGTCCTAGGGGTGACTGTTAGAGTTGGTGGAACTAAGGAATGTACCTCGTCTGAACACTTTCCATGAAAATAGCGATAGAGCAGTGAGAGACTTGCGTCGTTTCGTCTGTGGCAAAGGGATTGTAGAGCAGGGAAGGATTCATCACCCACAAGGACGCGGAAACGCTTTTGGACTCGGGCTTTTAGGTTAGTAGTTTGCTTTTGTCAGTATCTTCCAGTTGGAGAAAGCGTCCCAGGGCCCAGCCAATCACACCTCTTTGAGCCCTGACCACCGCTTTACCGGTGGTAGAGAAAAATTACCTAATGCCCAGCCACCGGTTGAACGGTGGTAGAGAAAAATGACTTAATGCCCAGCTACCGATTCCGTCCTGGGTAAGACAATAAACTACATCCGCTTCCTGGGTAAGACGATAAGCTACATCAAACAGCAAGGCCTCTGATCAGGAGGTTTTGAGGAGCGTGTAACCACCTCTTAATTGCTAATGTTCCCAGGTACACTCTGACCCGTGGTGGTAGGACCGGTTAGGGTCCCAGCTATGGGCGAATAGTTAACCCTGAACGGGGTCAAAACACTATGAAAATGTGAAAATAGGTCTTAATACCAGAAATACTTTGTAAAATAATTATTACCAGCTATACATTTTTTGAAAAAAATATTACCAGCAAAGGAAAACTATTACCAGAAATAGATTTTTGAACGAAAAAAATATTACCAGAAATAGATTTTTAGAAAAAATATTCCCAACAATGAAAATTTTGTCGATATTGAGGTTGATATGCCGAAAAAGAAAAAAAAACAGACCAAACAAACCAGCCAACGTTTGAACGGTGAGTAAATGCTTGCATTGTGTTTTGCTATTGGCTGTCTTATTTTGAAGGGCCAATCAGAAAAGCCGTTATATTCTAATATCATCGAAAGTTTTACCGACATGTCAGCGCCCCGTTGGACGAAATAAAGTTTTCGGTTCGAAATTTTAATCACCTGAAAAAGGCCGGAGCGTAAAACGGCCGAAACGTTATTGAATATTGCAATAAAGATGAGGATAACAGTTCGAATAATGTAAATAATGCAGGTAATCATTATATCTCATCTCAGAGATACAGGCAGATAGTGAAATTTATTTTTATCGTCATATTTATGACGTTTCAGCCGTTATACGCTCCGGCCTTTTCCAGGTGATATTCGTTGAAATTTCAAAGCGAACTCGTGGACAAAAGAAAGGGTTAGTTTCGAAATTCTAATAACCTGAAGAAGACCGGAACGTACAGCGGCCGAAACGTTGTGAATATTTCAATGAAGATAAGGATAACATAACGAATAATGTAAATATTACAAGTAATGTTTATTCACAGTGATACGCTCAGTGCGAAAGCATTATCAAGACTTCTGTTTTTATTGCCAGAGTTGGCTCTTATAAACTTGGCGTTTATTTGATAACAGACCTCTGGCCGTCAACGTTTTCAATTTTCATCATTATCATGAGTTAGCACCACACCTACAAGCGAATGTTGTCTAAGAGTCACTGTGCATCTGTGCAGATGACCACCTCCTTCCATCTGCCCGAGTCCATGTGAAGGATCTTCCAATTTACTCAGTGACCATGCAATTCCATCTTTTTTCTCTCTGTGGCTCTGTTTTCTTTGATCTATTCCATTTGGTGTCGGTTTTTATAACGTCTAAATATCACTGCAATTTTCTCTTCTTGGCGAATGGGTGGCCGCTTTGGAACACCGGGTCCTGTAAGGTTTGATGTGCGGCTGGTGTAAATGATAATGGCTCGGAATTGTTAATCAGAGAGCTGAGTTCCAATTCCAGTTGGGCTTGTTATATTCACTTACGCGCAACTACCCAGGAATGAATGAATTCTCCCCCATCTATGGATTAATTAGTAAGACTAGTATAAATAAAACCATTATAATCTAAAAAGATAAAATTGCATAAAATATTTAGATTTAGGTATTAAATAAACCACATGTGTTGATATGACGCTAAACAAAGCAAAACAACCAATCTTCTTTACGATGGTCATGAGGTCTCCTAAAGGGCCTGTTTCTTGTTTGATAGTTTTTTGCAATATGTCTTTTATGATGCTGTCTACAAAAGAGATCACGTTTATTTGTTTATTTAACTCCTTACGTATTATTTAATGCCGAAATTTAATTTTCTTGAGGGCTTCAGTATTTTTTATTTATCATATTTTTTTTTCTTTTACAAAAATCTGTTGCTAGTAATTTAATTAACTTTTTAAAAAAATCTGGTGCTGATTTTTTTTTACTATGAAAAATGAATTTTTTATACTTTCAGTTTTATTTTTTTTTTTTTTTTTTTTTTTTTTTTTTTTTTACCCTAGTTTTGGGTTTCATAATATCGTGGTATTAAGAAAAAGTGTGCTTCTTGTTTCTACTTTCGCCACAACCTCGTCTTTGCTCACGTGTATTGTATCCTCAGTACTCTTCTATAAACTTACATTTCGGTTGCTTCAACTCTCTTCTTCATCTGTGAGGAGATTATCCAGCCTTTATTGCCATATAGGAGGACAAATATCACATAACAGTTCAGTACTCGTTTCTTTGTTTCTGTTGCTTTTAGTCTCTTCTCATCTGTGAGGAGATTGTTCAATTTTCACTGCCATATAGGAGGACTGATATCACATAAGAGTTCAGTACTCTTTTTTGTTTTGCTTCAAGTCTGTTCATCATCAAGTCTGTTCATCATCTGTGAGGATATAGGATAATTGCATTCATAACAGCCATATAGGATAATTGAAGGCTCTTCTTATCTGCGAGGAGATTGTTCAGCATTTTACTCATTTGGACTGATATTACATAATAGTTCATTATTCTTTTTTTTGTTTCTGTTGCTTCAACCCTTTTCTTCATCTGTGAGGAGATTGTTCAGCATTTTACTGCCATATAGGAGGACTGATATTACATAACTGTTCAGTAGTCTTTTTTTGTTTCGGTTGCTTCAAGTCTCTTCTTCATCTGGGAAGAGATTGTCCAATTTTCACTGCCATATCGGAGGAGTGATATAACGTAACATTTCAGTACTCTTTTTCATTGTTTCGAACGACTTTTGTTCTGTTTCATAACTTTCAGAATACACCTTTGGCTCTCTAAATGCACTTCGGATTCCAGTGTTGCACTTTCAAACAGTTCCCGGGTACTTAAATTGTTGTACATGTTTGATTTTGGTATTTCCAATTTGTAATTTTAAATATGGGGCTCATCCTTGTAAGGAATGAAATGATAACTCTCGCGAGACTTTCTTTATGACCGCCATCATTAATTCACGTATCAAATACAGCAGCCGATTCTTTTCAAATAAGTTCAAGTATTGCGATTTCATTAATACTAACTCCTCTCTGTGTTAAGATACGTTTTGGCCTTTGGCTTTTTTTTCTATTTGTACTCGCCTTGCTTCCCGCACCTGCCACGATTTTACTGGTCTGTCTCTCCCACCAAGCGATCAGTCAATCGTCTTTTAATACATGATTCAGGATTCAAAATCTCAATTCAGTGCGTCTCCTGCGCTTTTATGACCGAATATTATCGCTGTTCATTCGCCGACATGAAACCTTTTGCATCGATCGAACAAACACTCTCTCCACAGAGACAGCGCTCTCAATAAAACACGCGCATAGGGAAAAGATATCTATGGAAAATCTATTCAAAACTTCAAACGCATAAACGACCAACTCCAAATAGCTGTGCATATTTTGCAGGCATTAGCGTCGATCTGACATAAAAAGAAATGGATATATCAGCAATTTTAATGAACATGTTCTTACACTAGTTGCTGTCCCTCCTACTTTCTTTTCTCTCTCTCGATACATATATATATATATATATATATATATATTATATATATATATATAAAATATATATATATATATATATATATATATATATATATAAAAAAAAAATATACAGAAAAAACAAACAAAAATCTTAATATGCAATTATGCTGTATTAATGTTAATATAATGTCAACGTCGGACGTTTCGATCTAGCATCATCAGGATATATTCATAAAACATAATTAACATTAGACTAACATGAAAAAGACGATGGACATAAGAGCAAGACTGATATTTATTCGTACAAAAAGTACAAATTGTGGCACGAGGCCAATAAAGGGGAGGGTAGAGTCTGGTCAACACTAACTATCTTATACCTAGCTAATCAGATTCGCGACCCATTCGTACATTACATTTTACTCATTCACCAAAAGAACTCGTCCATCACCAAACAATCCTTCAACCACCATAATACCAAAATTTAAGGGAGACCTACCAAAATCGCGCCCCATTATAAAATTTTACTGATGATATATATATACAATTCTAATAATGATAAAATGAAAAGGAGGAAATGAACCCAATAATAAACTTAAAATAAACACAAATACAAACTAAACATAATTGATGTTAGTAGGGACCGTCCAACCCATAAAACAGAGAGATAATTTGTATTCAAAATCAAAAATGTAGACAAAATCAAGAGACGCTCTGCTAAGGGAGTGGGAAAAGTATAAAATATTAGGCTGGAATGGGAAAAATAAAAACTAACCCAGTCGAGATGAATTATAAAAAAAAAACAAACTGGGGAGGTTGGGAATCTCGACTTGGATCATAACCAAAGAACGGCCGGGATGCAGGCCAGGAACAACACTTACTCACATTAACTAGGTGTGTGTGAAGCTTGTCTAATTCCTAACCAAGGGAGGGTTCCACAGGAAGCCACCCCGATGTGCAATAGGTTGACCTAGAAAGAGAAAATCAAGGCTAGCCCTGTTCACACGAAGCAAGACTCGCTTCTCTTTTACCCACCTTTCGCTAAAGACTGTCGAATGCAATCGTTTTCTATCCGATCTAATCTTCATCTTGAGCTGATGCTCAAAGAATCGAATCCGAATGAGAAAGACGATTGCCTCGCAAGACTTCCTCCTTTCGCGTCGTCCAAATCACCATTCGAGCCGTGGCCATCAGCGTCAGAAACACCATCCGTTTCATCCCGGAATACGGGGGCGACACATTGTCACACGCGTATGTTTGATCAATGGACACAAGCTGTATATATAGCGAGACGAGCCGTCAGCTCGCCGACATGGTCCCATAAGGGGCGGACCTGGGGGCAATGGTAGAAGGCGTGCGCGGCCGTTTCTTCTAAGCCAATTTTACACCGTTCATAGTCTGTATAAATCCGCCAAGCCCCATATGAAAGCCTTTGTCGAGCCAATCGCCAGCTAAGCGAAAACTCAGGGTTACTGAGGTAATCCGCCGCTGGCGCCCAAGACCAGAAGGAGCGATAATCCTCCTCCGACATGCCGAGCATATCTCGTAGGGGATCCTTCGCGGGCCTCTCCTGTAAAATGGACGATAGAAGACCTTCCTAGGCCGAGAAAGGTCATGGACCGGGGAACGACATCGCGAAGGGAAACCGATTGATCCTGGGTTTACGACCGCGCTCAACCCGCGAGATGGGGGACTGATGGTAACCAGCCAGGGAACGCGTTTTAACAAATCCCCTCCAGAATCGGATCTCCTCCAGTCAATGCGCGGCGTAGGAAAGCCAACCGAAGAGGCACGGATGACTCGGCAGGTGCGGCATTCCCAGCCCCCCATGACACGGACGTTTAGTTATAGACTCGTCTGTCGACCTGATTCGCGTCCCTCCATAAAATGGAGCAAGACTAATCCAAACAGATAAGTTGAAATTTTTATATAAGATGAAGCGTTCCGTTTAAATATGATCACGTCGTCGTCACATGAGCGATGTTGTGAAAACGTATTCGAAGATGATTTCAAAATATTATAATATATAATAATATATTAATATTTTTGTTTGTTTTTTCTGTATATTTTTCTTCATACTGTCGGATCTATATCCACATATTTCTCTCATATATATATATATATATATATATATATATATATATATATATATATATATATATTTAGATAGATAGATATGACATGATATGATAAGATATGGTATGATTTTCAGGCACTTTCTAAAGATGAGGCATCCTGGGATCGACTCCTCCATTCCGAAAACATCAAGAAGTCACATTAGCTGTCAAATAGTCCATGGTAAGGCTCGAAACCAGTCAAAATGCGAACGTTCGAAAGAGATAGATATAAAATATACTGATGAATATATATATATATATATATATATATATATATATATATATATATTCAATAATAGTAGACAATTTTAAAGGTCCATTGGTTATAATTTATTTCACCAGGTAATTTATTTTTTGGCTTCATTTGGACCACACGTCCAAGGTTGAAAAAATGATTATATATATATATATATATATATATATATATATATATATATATATATATATATATTGTTCTTGTTGTTGATACACTCTGACGAGAGGATGGATTGATATTCAGTGGATCCGTCTTTGAAATTTGGAGTCATGATGTTGAAGAGAACATCAATCAGCTAATTGACGAATTTTTTAACAATATTAATCTCTCTCTCTCTCTCTCTCTTCTATCTATATATATATATATATATATATATATATATATATTATTCGTAAATCAAAATTGCTTTTGCTTGTCGTGAAATGATAGAAAAAGTCTACTTTGAACTCTACATGTATAGGTGTTCCGCATTAGAAAAAAAAAGAAAATGTTGAAATGCCACCCGTCTTCTTGTTACTTTAGCGTCAGATTTGAAACGTTTAGTCTCTCTTCGCCTCCAGGACGTGAACAAACAATATGCACTCATCTGTGCTCGTTCTAAAACTACACATGCCGGACCTTTTGGTAACTGGAACATTCATCGTTCTATAACAAGAAACATTCCCAAAAGGTAAACGTTTCTTATGTTGTATATTGTTTCTCAAGAGAATAAATGTTATGTTTGCTATACGTTTGAACTATTAGTCTTTTCTCAGACTTATTCATAATGTCCTCTGACATAAATCATAAATTTTCTTCCGACTTCTTGTTTCCCAGTCACCTTTGATCTTCAAAAATTTAAATCCAATGTCAATCGTCATCTTCTGTCTTCCTGAACCCTGTTGCTTTATTGTTTTTTTCCTCGTAATGTCCCCTGATATAAATTATAAACTTACTTCCGGTTTCTTGTTTTCTAGTCATCTTTGATCTTCAAAGATTTAAATGCAATGTTAATCGTCAACTTCAGTCTTCCTGAACGCTGTTTATTTTTTTTCCTCGTAATGTCTCCTGATGTATATTATAAACTTACTTCCGGCTTCTTGCTTTCTAGTCACATTTGATCTTCAAAAATTAAAATCCAATGTTAATCGTCATCTTCTGTCTTCCTGAGCTCTATTCCTTTTCTCATAATGTCCCTTGATATAAATCATTAACTTTCTGCCGGCTTCTTGTTTCCCAGTTACCGCTGATCTTCAACAATTTATATGCAGTATCAATCGTCATCGTCTGTCTTTCTAAACCCTGTTCCCATGTTGTCCTTTACTCTCTTCCGGCTTCTTGCTTCCCGGTCATATTTGATTTTCAACAATTTTAATGCAATGCCAATCATCATCATCTGTCTTCTTAATTTTTGTCCCTTTATTGTCCTTAATAGTAATTTTTTTCATATTCTCTAACACTCAGCAACAACTTTGCATGATAGTGGCTTTATTGCCTTCCTTGGGGGAAAATAATGAAGAAAAACCTCTTCTTAGCTTTTCTAGACTCTACAGTGCTGTTCGATAAAAGTGACTCACCTTATCCTTTGAATTTAGCTCAACTTTCATTTCATTGGAGAAGAAAACATTCTTCCAGTCTTCTACGGTGAAATTTTCGTAATAAATGAGCCCATTCAAAGTCTTGGCTTTGTTGGCTTTTGGCTTAAATTTCGTGTACAAGATTTGTAGCCTTGTTCTAACAAGATTTGTAACCTTGTTTTGACGGACTGTTGAAGAGGCAAGACTAACACCTTGTCTTCGTTTAGACTGGCTGCAATTTCTTGGCTAGTTATAGTCCTATTCTTCGCAACTTCTCTTGATTACCCTGTCAGTTCTATCATCAAATTTTTTTTTGTCCCCTTGTTTCCTTCCTTGGAGCAGGAATGGCATCATTATGTGCCCTAAGCACTCGAGAGACAGTTGATTTCAATGTTATAGCAATTTCTACAATTTCTCTCGTAGACTTGCCTGCTTTTGAGAGGGCAATAATAGATGCCTTAAATGGTTCTGATGCGTGTTTGTACCCTTTCATCTGGTTAGTGACTTGAGTGGCTATTTCAAGCTGTTTTTTTTGTATACTTTCTGGAATATTCTGGAATATTCTAGATTTAATTTAAGCTGTTCTAGAATTCAATAGAATATTGTTCTGAGTGTATTGTAAAATAGTTTTCAATATTTTGTCAAAAGCTCTTTAAATTTACCAGTTTAATCATTAGAATGCGATATCTGAGTCACTTTTTTTAAAAGTTTTTTCCTGAATCTCATTTATATCCAAATTTATAATTATCAATAGAATACCTTAGGGTGAATAAACTTTTTTTCCTAGGTGGTCGGGAAGGGGGTCTTTATATTAGTAAGATTAAAAATTATTTTAAACCCCACCAACAATAGACAGAAAATATTTTAATAAAAAAAAAATCAGGTGAGACACTTTTATCGAGCATCACTGTACATGTATAGGAGTCCCAGATTGGTAAAAAAAAAAAGAACATCCAAATGCCATCCATCTTGCTGTTACTTCATCAGAAGATATGGAGCTGTTCGGCTCTTTTCTCTGTTCTGTCTCCAGGATAGAGACAGGGACAACAAGAACTCACCTGACCCTCTTCTGTTGCCACATGCTGGACCTTTTTGAAAGCAGAACTTTGTGGTTCTATATCAAGAAACATTCACTAAAGGTAAATGGTTTGAAAGTTATATATTCATTCTCAATACGATAATTGTTATGATTGATATACGTTTGGACTATTATCCTTTTCTCAGACATTGTAATGTCAGGTGCTATAAGCCGGGATGTGCGGGTGGTGTAATGGATAATAGGTCGGAATTTTTAATCGCAGGGTCGAGTTCCAATTCCAATCGGGTTCGTTATATTCACTCTCGAACTCTCTTGGAAAAAATTTATGACTCTACCTCTTTTTCCCCAACTATGGGTTAATTAGTAAGACTTGTATAACTAAATCATTATTATCTCAAAAAGAAAAATGGAAAATTCTTATAATCTAAAAATATTTTCTGGCTTTAAATAACCGGCAAAGAGTTGATAAACCGTAAAAGAACGAATCAATCAAGGACAGGATGACCTTTGCTTCGATGTAAAATAAGATATTTATTTTCTCATGGTTTATTCAAAATCTATTACACGTGCCACTGGAAGGCTGTGTTTTTTTTTTTTTTGTTGAAATGTGGATAGATAATACATTTTTTTTTTCTCAGAACAACAAGAATATATGTTCCCAGCATTTTCTAACAATATTTCTTTTATATTTACATTATCCTCAAAACCGTCAAAATAGAGGACGGTAGCCATCTTGAGGAAAATTTAAATCTGCCAAACCTTATTTCTTTTTGCAATAAAACTTCCCTAGATGAAAAAAAAAAAAAGAGAAAGGAAGCAAATACGTGGACATCAGTTCTTAGATTATGTTTTCATTTTTCTCCGTACTTACCAATAAATTTCACATATCGATACTTCGAAAGAAAAAGAAGAAAAAAAAAAAGAAATTGTTCCAATCCTGTTTGTTTACATAAAATTTGCGACATAATTTAGTTATCAATTTCCCCATTTTAGCTTTTGACGCTAAAAAACTTTTTTTTTATCGCTATTCTTATGCCTCATAAATTATAATGTTTTGTGACGGCAATGCTTTCAATGGTAGCCACTGATCTCGAGAAAATTAAAATATCTACAGAATTTATTTGATCTACATGAGCAACGTACCTGCCGTATCTTAAATTACATTTTCGCTGATGTGCTAGTATTGTCCAACACCACATATGCAAACACAAAATCTTGCATGCAGAAATTAAAGTTAACTTTTGAGTCGTAAAATAGAAAAAAAACTATAAATGCATCAAATTTCGACAACTTAACGTTTTTTGGGGGGTTTTTTTGTTTTTGTTTTGTTTTTTTACAATGGCGCGCGTCTATATTTCATCCAAACAGGAGCTTTTTTATTGATGAAGAACATTACAAAATACGAGTATACAGTCTGTTCCTTAAATAATGTAACAGAATCTTACGTCAAATAATTTTTCATCAACCGCTCCCGATGAGGAATTCTTACGCTAAATTAAAAGAGAAATTTATCAGATATAGCTGAACCCCTTGATTAGTGCAGCTAATGTGTACATTGGTAACAAGAGAAAAAAAAATATTTTCAATTACGATGGTTAAACTGGAAAATGTATTACCGCACTAATCGAGTATTATGTATGCACCAATCGAATTTTGGTATATAAATATTTTAGCGCACTAATCTGAAATCATGTGCGGAAATTCAAATATCTGAGAAGTGTTTTGACAGAGGACCGTAAGTGCAATGCTGAAATCCGAAGACGTTTTGGGATGGCCAAAGACGCATTCCAAAAGCCAGACAGAGTATTACGAGACAGGAGGATTTCTTTGGTAACAAAGAAAAGAGTACTGAGCTGCTAGGTGACATCTCTCCTCCTTTACGGCAGCGAATGTTGGACGGTCTCCTCAAATATGAAGAAGAGACTCGAGGCAACGGAGGTATTGTTCTACAGAAGGATACTAAGAATATTATGGTCCGAGCGTGTGAGTAACGATGAGGTTTTGAAGAGGATGCAGACAAGGATGAAGCTTATATTTAACATAAGGAAGAGGTAGATGATAAAACACATGGGACAAATGAAAATAAAGGAGGGGAAAGAGATCAGGCGTGAGTTTATTTAAATGGGAACTTTAAAATTGATTCCAAGAAAAGATTTTGAAGATTGAAAGATGCTTTTTGTTTTCATTATTTTTGGTTCCACATGAAATCTTGTTTTCAATAATGGATATCGGTCTTTATTTTACGATGAGGAATGTTGGACGGTCACATCAAAGATGAAGAAGAAACTCAGGCAATTTATTACAATGTTTTTACAGAAGGATGCTCATTTTTATCAAATTTTCTTTTGGAATGAGCAACGATGAGGTTTGGAGATTTTGAAAAACATAGAAGAATATTATACTAGTTAACATCTTTGGAAGAGGCAGATGAAATGTAAAGGGACACGTAATGAGAAAAGAGGCATTGAGAATCTGACATTCACAAGTAAAGAGAGAAAACTTTTTGAAACGCATGGATTTGGATGACAGAACATGACGTTGGGGAAAGTTTGCCAAGTGACATTGAGAGATAAAAAGGATAGGGGGAAATGGAGAGCCATTTCGTTTGAAGGGATACAGCACATAAAAAGAAAAATATTTTTTTCATTCATAAATAATGCTCATTAATCGAGGGATGCTTTATTAAAAACATTCTGGAAGGAAAATCACTGATTTTAAATAATAAAAATGTAACAATTCAGAGACTTGTAACCGTTCCCAGTCATTCGACGCCTACAGGCCATGTCCGAGAAAAAGCTAGATGGCAGTGTCCTAAAAAGGGCTAGAAATACAGATGACAGACATGGGTCTTGAACAACCCATGAAAAAGGTAATCCCCAAAATATATATATATATATATATATATATATATATATATATATATATAAAATAGACAAAATGAACAAAGTATATAATTGGTATACACGGAATGAATTCAATAACCAACAATTACTATTATTTTTGATGTGCTCAATATATAAGTAGATAGATATATATATATATATATATGTGTGTGTGTGTGTGTGTTCGTGTGTGTGTGTGTGTGTTTGTGTATTTTGTGTGTATTTTTATATAAATATTTCTCAAATCTATATACCTGAAGTACACAAATACCTCAAATATAATGGTAAAATATTTTCGATAAAGTTAATATTGCCATTAATAAATTTACCATTATGTGTTTAGGTATTTCGAATGATGTATTAATATTTGTCATTTTATAAACATATTCGGACTGTTATCGAATTTTATTCCATTCTATATTAACCCTATTTACAATATTTAATATATATATAAATATATATATATATATATATTATTATAAGACATTAAGAAATTATGTGATTATCTTCATCTTCATTTTTCGTATTCACAAGAAATCACTAAATATACAAATTGGAAATTAATTTTGATTAAAATTATTATTGTATGACAAACTGTTTTCTGAGATCTTCAACTGGAATTCACAAGAACTACATTCATTTTCATGCCAGTTGCTAGGATGTTTTGTTTTATTATTATTAAAATAATTTATTTAATAATTTATTTGGCTTTTATATTTGAAAAAGTCTGGGCATTGGACGAAATCTTTGTATATATATTACAGTTATCCTATTGTCCTTTTTACATTTATAGATATTGTCGATTATATATATATAAATTAAACCTAAAAGAGGCAGACGAACCTACCACGGTAGGTTGCCGTTTTTGGATCGTCAGGGCTTTCAATATGTAGACAATTTAGGTTTGCTATTAACTTAGCATAACGAGCACTTTATTATTTTCAAAAAAATGTATCGGGGTTTCGAATTTGGACTCTGAACTTAAATGCTAGACGATTATTTTCTGGCTAACGTACATGTTCTTTGTATATATTTTTTTTTATTTTATTTGTTTTTAATTTTTTCCTATTGGTTTGTTTATTTGCAGATCAAGAAATCGATGGTTTTGAAGGAGGATAACTTTATATTTATAAGATTACAATTATTATATTTATATATATATATATATATATATATATATATATATATATATATATATATAAAGGTTTGAATAAAAAATTGGGAATTTTTGAAGTGCCAGAAATAATTAAGTGGCAACACTGCGAGACAGTTCGATTTGAGCAAGTAAACATTTTGCAATTTAGAATTCAAGATGAAATTCACAGTATCCCAGCTGAGATGTTGCAGCAGTCAATGAGGAATCTCAACAGCAGATTTCAAGAATACATTCGTACAGGAGGACGCCATCTACAGGACGTAATTTTTAAAAAATGAAAATTCCATTATTGTTTCTTAAATGGCATGCTTTAAGGTTTCAATTACTATGAATAATATATTTTTCTTCTATCGCTCTTGGTTTGATTGGATTGTTAAAAAGTTCCCATATTTTGGGGTCACTCTGTATAAAACAATATCAACACTCAGGTCAGATTTTCAGCTTCGGTTTGTGTTTAGAGTTGGTGTATCAGCTGTTGGACGTAATGAGTGCTCTAGCGTTAACAGAAAAATGAATTTGTTTTACTATTTTATAAATATTTCATATTGATTTCTTTGTTAATACGCCAAATATATACACCAAAGACAAGTCTAAGTGGGATATATTCGTGGCAGTCCTTTAGGGATAAGGTAAATGGCGCGCAGTAATTGTCCAGAGTGCTGTCTCATTTGTTTACGATTCGGTCGTAATGGTTTGCATTTTATACCGTCGTTTTGGAATGTTTTTTTAGACTTGAAAACTCGCCTTGTACGCCGCCATTTACGGTATCTCCCTTTCTTGATAACCTCACAAATTAACACATGAACTGTTTCAAGCCCTTCCCAATTTTCAACATTCAGGATTGTACACGTCGTCTTTGTGGAGTAACAACCTTTTACCGAAATTGACCTGATCTGTGCTTACCACCCAGCCAAATACAGAGGATATAAAGAGAATAGCAATGACCACACATTTTTAGGCTATTTGAATTGCGATATTTTTGGTTTCTGGCTTCGGAATGCGGCACAAACAGTTCAAAAGATCCATGAATCAAAATTATACGAGGACACGACA